GATGATTAGCGATGAACATTAAACAAATCTATTTCTGTTCCATGCCTTTCGATGAATCTGTCTACATTGATTTACATTATACTATCTATATACGTGTATATTCATATACATTGATGCTACACGGACATTATATTGTACTGTTCTCAATGCTATGTAATATCAGAAATTAAAAATATTATAATACAGTTGTATTTTACTATCACCTATATTACAATATATAGAAAGATAATTATATAAATTCATGGTATAACTACATTAATAGGATCTATAATTTCCTTATCATTTCAGTATTGTTTACTGCCTATATGCATGTATATTCATTTACATTCAAATACCATACCCTATACTTATGTAATACTATTATGCCATGATGGGTTAAATACTCTACATTCATGGTATAAATACTACTACTACTACTACTACTACTACTACTACTACTACTACATATTATGTATTCTAGGCCATATGTATATAAATACTACAGATAAGTTATACCCCAGTATGTTTTATTCTCTGCACTTAAAAATTACACTACTCTATCTATAGTAAAAATATAGTATACAGTACACCTATTTTCCTAATTAGTAAAATACAAACTGCCATTATACTCTATTATAAACTATTTGATGGTATTAACTATCATCCATATATATACGTGTATATTTTGATGCTATGATCGCTTAAATACTATATATATTCATAAACATTCATGTTATAAACATAACCTATCGTATTACTACATATTATGTGTATCATATGAATATGAATCCAATATATAGTGTGCCCAGTATCTTTTTAACTCTGTACTTAAAAATTACATAGCATACTTATATTCCATTTATGATATAAATGCAGTATATTTAGTACACTTATATTCCTAATTAGTGGGAATTAGTAAACTATAACTTTATAATCTATGTATTACTGAATAAATATCCTGGTTAATATCATAGACAATTTATTATTCCATCTCACCTATCATATATATCATATCATTTATATCATATATATCATATAATGAACCTTCATGTTTTTGATACCTTTATCAACTATCTCATTGATCCCCCGTTTGCGGTTGATTACGGTCGATTTTGTGAGCTTCTTCATTTTAAGGTTGACCACTACATTCCCTGAAAAAAACATCCAAAGTTAGGAAAATGTTTCATTTATCTTACTGGTTTTATTTCTACAAATCCCAGATACGTTGGTCATGGTGTTCAGTGGTTCTTAAGGCCTATTCAACCGGATTGTCAGATGCCCTGCCAGCCACAATAGTGGCCTTCGGAACTGCGTGGTCTGGCAGTCCGTTGGGCTTAAAATTACTAAGCACTGCCCATCCACCACACCACCTGAGTGTGATACTCATTTCTTCTTATGAATATGTAGTCATGTAATGAATGATTAGCATCTTTCTAATGTATGTGAATATGCATTCATAGAGGAAATGTGATTTTTTTACATACATTCATGATTTAAGATAGCACTCTACACTTCTGTCTTCAGAAAAACACATGTATTCAAGCATGAACATTGCATTACATTTCATTCATGACATGGGATACTAAATATGGCTCAACATTTGATCACATTATAAAGGACACCAAATTTCAAAAAGGCAAAACAGTTCACTCCTTTTACATAGCTTACAAAAACCATAGCATATTTGATTCTTTTGCATAGCATAAAAATACCATCGCATATTTCATTCTTTTACATAGCATCTCCTGATCCATAGCATATTTCATTCTTTTACATAGCATACAAAAACCATAGCATATTTCATTCATATTAATTGAGTAGTAGATTCATGCATTGTTAAGCCAGCCAAACTTCATCCCCATACAGGTGTTTTCATTGAAGTACTTCTGGTTCATTGTTATAGTTCGACATGATCTCCTAGGTAGTGTAGGTCCTGCATCTAAGAGTTCTTGACACTGTGTGCATAAGAAATTCCCAGTATACTTGTTCTTGTTCACAGGCCTCATGCAGTAATAGTGACTAAAATTTGCATTACACCAAAAGCATGCTTCCAACCGGGACAACCCTTGCCCTTTTCCACAAGCATGACATTGGGGAGTCGTAGAACATTTTGAACATTCACATCTTCTCATCTTTAAACAAACAAAGCTTACATATCTCATTCAGCAGTTTTGAAAAAAAATGACAGCTAATTACTATAAAATGTGATTTTATTATAATTTTGTATTGTATTTTATCACACAACTGCATTAAAACGATTATGGATGTGCTTAGTTTCAATATAACTTGATTTCATACCTTTTGATTGAAGGAAAGTGCTACAGATCACTCTTTATACTTCAGCCATTCTCAAACAACTTCCACTTGGTTTTTATGGTTGAGATAATAAATGAGTTTCTCAGATAGGAGTAAATGCATCTATGCAGTATTTATATACTGAGATTTTAACCTTGGTACGTAAATAGCACTCCCTCAGCCTTCATTAAATTTGAGCCGACCTAGCAGCCATCCTAGGATTGAGAAATGTTGCCCTATAGCTTTGCAATAAATACTTGCCAGTTCAGTCTTAGAATTTTAAAAAGCACAGTCACTTGTATACATGGTATCAGATTTCGCATGAGGTGGTTATTATCCAATGGTATGTATTATCCTTTCACAGCTGTTTGTACTATTCTATTTTATATTTTATTGAGCAGACTACATAACCACCCTAGTTGGGCTGTGGATTTATAATCATGGTAGTGCATTAATGCCTTGAACTGCAGCAGCCGAGATACTACAGTTTTTTTAAAAATATTATTTATTACCACATTGCATTGGATATCATTCTGGCACCAAAGATATTTTAGTACATTGCTTTAAATGCTGTGTCATCATGAAATGCAGTGGGGTATTGGTCATATTTGATTTTGCATTAACTGGATTTTTATTCAGCCCCAAATTGTCCACTATTTTTTTAGTGTGAATAAAATTCCTTTTGCTGGGCTTGGTACTTTAAACATAATAAAATACCTGGTCTAGCATATTCAGGGAAAAAAAAGTGCTAAAAATGTTGAAGTGTTATGTGCCATTGAAAACATTTTTTCCCTTTAATATGCATTTGTTTTTTAATTTTTTTAAACTTTAAAATGTAGTTTGAAAATTCAAAGTCCCTGGCAAATTTCTTTTTTTTTGAACATTTTTTTCCCTTTAATATGCATTTTTTCCCTTCAAAGCCCCTGCTCATAGAAATGTAGTTTTGAAATTCAAAGGCCCTACCAAATGCAACATGTAGCACTTCAATACATATTAGCAAACATTTGCTACATGTTAAAAAAGTATTTTATTTCACTATAGTTCTTGAACTATAGTGAAATAAAATACTTTTTTTAATTATGTGTATACATTATTAATTATAATATCATATTTAAATTACCCATTATCCATTATTTTCTTTACTCTCTTGTGATGAAACTCGTATTAAAAATGACAGGTAGAATACGTCTAATTTTTTAACATAGTTTTGTAATAAGTCTTAATTTTTAAAATTTAAATAATAGAATTCTATCTTTAATGTTTATAAAACAAATATTATATGTATGTGTATTTATATTTGTAATCATCAAATTAACCATTATTCAATACATATGCATATCTTTAGTTATAATATAAAAATGTATACAATATAAAAATGTATTTTATTACACTTTAGTTTCTGATCAAACTCTATTTATACTTATAGGTAATTATCATATACTTTTAATATTATATATTATATATTTATATATTGGTCTCCATCTAGATTATATTTATAAATACAACATTCATATATATATATATATATATATATATATATATAATTACACCTGTAATATTGCTTAAGTCATTTACACATTGCAATTTTTCGAAGTATGTAATTTCAACTTAAAAATTTTATTCCAACTTCACAATTTTAATATGACGAAAATTTTAGTTAATGTTATTGTTATTAAATTTTGCAGGGCTCTGGTGTCCATTTGAAGTTTGGCATGCATCCATAAGTCATATAGATTCTGTATAGGCCATAGATTCTGGAACCTTTAGAAGGTTGCCAATTATGTAATTGATTTTTTTGTCTGTAATAATTAATAATTAATTAGTTGAAATTAGGAAGTGCAGGTCATCTTGCCCAGCGAAGTTTTTATTCAGGTATGAAAAACCCACCCCTCTTATTCAGTATTCTTTGATTTATAAGTCATGCATCTATCTTGAGATTTAGTTAGTAATTGTCATTCTTATTGTGATATTAAAGTTAGTTTTGAAATATAAATCTCCAACCCTTCAAACTTCACACATTCATCACTTAGTACAGCCTTTTGTTTCGAAACGTATTGGGCAATAGATAAATAATAGAAAACTGAAATTCATATAGACATTAACGTTCTGTTTTCGATTACATTTCCAGATTACATTTTCGGATTACGTGCTTTGTCAAGTGATTATAATCCCCCAAATCCCTAACATGATACTTGCATAATACATTTGATAGGTAGACAAATTTTTTCCAAAGGTGCCAACACTTCAGTTTCTTCCATCCTCTTCATCTTTTTGTACCAAATGCTTTAGGAAATAGACCACCTGAAAAAAAATTGATATACCACATTTAGAACAGATGCATATCATATCTTTAAATGAGGATGGTCTCCTGTTTTGTACCATATCCTTTAGGGAACAGATCACCTGCAAAAAAAATTGAGATACAAAACATGTAGAACAGATACTAACATAGCAGTGAATTAGGATGGTCTCCTCTTTTGTACCATATCCTTTAGCAAACAAATCACCTGCAAAAAATTTGATAACCCAAACACAAAGAACAGATGCTAACATAGCAGTAAATAAGGATGATCCATAGTCCACACATCCGAATCAATACAACCAAGGTTCCAATGGAGATGACTCCATCGTATTAGGCAAAAAGAAGTCAAAGTAATTGTTTTTCACTTGAGTGAATACTTTTAGCAAAACATAAAGTCTTCAGTTCATAGCTTCATAATATTAATCTGCTCCTCTATTCTGGTTCCTTCTTAATTTTGGTCTTCAACTTCTTGCCGTTAGTAGAAAACTGCCCCATCAAGTTCCTTTTTAGAGTCTCTTCTGCTTCGATCCTCTTAGTCTTAAGTATAGTTTGAGTAGGCGTGACACCATCCTCCACTTCCTGAATAAAAAAGCCACATTTAACAATTAGCTTTCCCAAAAACTCCAAGGAAACAGATGTGTAGACCATAACCAATATACCTTCTCTAGGTCAACAGTCTCAACTGATTTCGTTTGGGTGCTTCCCTCCAAGTTGTCTGCTGTCGAGCCACTCTGTAAATATATGTTTAAATAATTTTTCATAAATAAGAGTAAATTGAAAGTAAAATACATTCTTTTCCAAGTAGTGTACACATCTGAGAAAACCTCGTACCTTCTCCATGTCAGAAATTTCTTCAAGCCCTTTGTTTTTGTCTTTAGGATTGTCATACACTTTCAAGACTTCGTCTTCCCTAATCATTGTGATCACACCATAGGAGGTAGGCCCTTTGTAAGAACTACTCTCAGCCTTGTTTTTTAACTGGACTTTAAACAGTCCTCTTTTGTCTATAATAGATTCAATGTCCTCAGGAAAATGCATTGGGTCTCCAGTCCTCTAAAAACATTTTCAAAAGTAATTAGGTGGTTAATATGCATTTTTTCCAAAATTATTAATATTGAATAGGAAGGTTCATCTTGCTTATACCAGCTCAACTTCGTTCCTTAGTGTTGCTGCTGTTTTGCCCAGCATGTCTAGACATTCCCTGTCCCAAAGTGTAAATGTTGAATGACCAGAATCATCCATCACGCACACTGTAACTTTGTACCTACAAAAGTTTGTGTTTTTTAATACAATTTCAATTTTCCCACAGAAAAAAAGACTTGAACTTGTAAGAAATATTTCTTCTAAGGTAGGTATACCTAAGAATTCCGTCTGGTAGTGTTAAGTTGCAATGTAGACACACAAATCTTTCGTCGTCTGGTTGCAGTTTTTTGTTGCAAGTGTTGCAACTCAAGTAACACCATTCTCTAAAGTTTTCTATTGAGACCACATCCCCAAGTATCCAGTACACTCCTTCCTGCAAATTTAAAACCCCGAATGCAGTTTTGTAATTAAAAACATACTTCATAAGGTTCTTTCAATGTGTACCTCTGTTTTCTTAACCAAGTCAGCAATGGTTGTGATAGTCAAGTTTCCTCCAAGAATATATTCACGACTTTCAACTTGAGAGTTAGTTGCGAAAGTAGTCAAAGTGCCGTTGTCCCTCTCCTCCGCTGGGAATCTGTTACATAGATATGTAATTCAATCCTTCTATAAATTTCCAAATAGTATTCAAAATAAGTATGTTATGTATATACAGAATACATACTGTCCCATGAAGTCCACCAGCTCGCTTGTGTTTCCATTGATTATTAGTTTGCTAGCATCGTATGAGGTACCAACTGATATGGTGCCTGAAAGTAAGAAGTGCGTTAGTATAGTACAATATGTCAATATACACGTCGTTTCCTGTAAGTTTTGTGAAACCATTTTTACCTTTGTAGCGCCTTGCCCTGCACATCTGGACAATCACAAAAATCCCCTCCTCTTTATGATTTTCATAGTAGTTTAGAAAGTAATCAATGTAGCTGTTCCATAGTGTGCAGCCCAGCCGGTTTCCTCTATAAGAATTTGGTTTCCGATTAGTTATTTTTAGTACCCATGTGCAACATATTTCTAATGCCCAATTTTGAAATGTCAGTTCAACATGTTTTAAACTTACTCTGCGTCCTCAAGGGCGAGCTCCATCAGCCTCTCGCCCCTGCCATTGATAATGAGGTTCTGTGCCGTACATTTGCCAACCACCTTTCCAATAACATCTGCACCAGTAAAACTATAAATATAGTTGTTTTGCTTTAATAAAATAATTGATTATAATAATTCAAATAATATTACCAATTAGTTGTTTATCATCAACAACCCTTAAGGTTTGTAGAACCTCAAATGGCTGAAAGTCAAACACGCTATTCGGCACAATCTCAGGATTAATATCCTTGATTATTGTCTTGCTATAAAATTCAATCAAGTAGGCATGGTTTGTGGCTTTATAAGTGTAGTAGTTATCCATCACCAAGAAACCCCTAATCGCGTAAACCTCGTTTTCCACAATCTTAGACCTAAACATCCGTAGCAGAGGCCTCTTTATCAAACCATGAATTTTGTCTCCCTGCATGATCAATTTGTGTTTTAAATAAATTGAAATATTACCAAGTGCAAAAAGTTTTAAACTCTATCCTCAAAGGGTGCATTCAAAATTACCTGAGAGTCGATGAAAACCAACTCCATCCTCTGTCCTCCCCTGGACTGAGGTGGCATTTCATAAGCTCTAACCACCTTCACCTTGACTGCCCAAGTAGTCTTGGTGTGATCAACATCTCTGAGATATGAGAACTGTCCTTGGTTTGCTGCCATTGAAATTTGTTGTGAGAGGGGATGAAGTTGTGTGTGGATGCAAATTGAACTGAGCCAAGTAGCGAATTTATACTGGAATACATGCAAACAGTGACGTGCCCTCTACATCGGTTAATAACCCTGTTTAAATTTGAAATCTGAAATTGGTTCTCATTGCTTGTAAGCATTAATTGACTATGTACTTTAGATATATTATTTAATACTTTGGTTGGCTCAAGAAGATATGAAAGTACATTTCATTTATTGCAAATCTTTATTTAAAGTACCAATCAGTGATTTTGAAACACCAATTTGATTCTGTCCGTTGCATTTCAAATTTATTTACTACTTCTGCATTTAATGTTCAAAAAGATTTGAAAAGACAACTTGTAACCACAATAAATGATAGGCCGAACGTTTCTCCCAATGCTGCCAATATTAATTCTTTGGCTGGATAGTTGGACTTTATTATCCGACCCGTTTTTTGACCCGGATCCGAATCTTTAACCCTGGTTTTTGGGCGGGAGTTCTGGCTGGCTTTCCACATCCTTTTGTATATAGAAAGACTAGTATCACAAGAGTACTCCTAAAGGGGGACATGTGTTGTGAACAAAAAAATAAAATCAACGGGGTAAACCGTTGTCCAGCCCAAATAATCAACGATAAAAATACCGTTGCCCAGATCCAAAAGGCTAAAACCAATTTTATTCCAAGATGAGCCAGAATGAATCATAGCAAGGGGTTTAAATACCCATCTACTTATTCTCAAACTAGGAAACAAAATCTTAGAAATCCCAATCAACTCCAACTAGGAAACAGAATAATAAAGATCCTAATCAACTTCAAATAGGAAACAAATAATAGAAATCATAATTAACTCCTAATAGGAAACAAATATTATAGAAAAATAGAAAGCATATAGAGAAAAATGTTAAATATAAAAACTATAAATTAAGATAACCTTACATTTTCAAAAATCAATTAGTTACCTCCTATGTTTTGACCATTCTCACTATATACCCCCTCACGTTCATATTTGTTAAATTAAATTTAATAAACCTCTTAAATTCAATGTAAGTTGTATATAAAATCAATTTTTAAAATATGATACAATTTATTATCATAATTATAAGTCAATGTTGATGATCATTATAAGTCATGGGATACATAAAAAGAATTGTTTATAAAATGTTCTGCGTTATCAAAATTCTAGGCACTTCCTCATTATGAATATAAAAGTCTTATTTGTAATTCATTCAGTTGAATTAATCACAATGACATTTCATTCGTGTGTGGCAAAGAAAAATACAAAGATATTGATGGAGTATATGGCCCAGGAACCCCGGCCCATAGACTCCTACTTTCCCACAAAGGCCCGTTGAGTCCAAGGAACACCTGAGGCCCAAATACAGCGGCCCAAGTCTCAAAGAAGCCCAAAGTACACACTGGGGTGCCTTCGGCCTCCTTGGCCGAAGGCTCCAAAACTCACAGGATAGCCTTTTTGGGCATACGAAGCTACTGGGAGAAAACGGCGGAAACAGGAGCCTTCGGCACTGTGAGCCCTCGGCACCAGAGAAGCCTTCGGCTACACAGAGCCCTCGGCTGCATGAGGAGCCTTCGGCTAAACAGACTCAATCATCGAAGATTCCCTTTGGAGACAGCCAACCACTGCATTTAATGCGACGCCACATCCACCCACCGCATTCAATGCGGTGAACATGCCGCTGTCGGTGCCACCCCGATTGATGTGAGCCCTCGGCCGTTGGATTACTGACACGTGTACTCTCATCGCATTTATTGCTGCTATAAATAGCAGCCCATTTCTCCTTGTAAACGATCCCAGATCTCACACGCTGAGTTCATTTAATAAAATCGACTCTCTCTCCTCCTATTTCGCTCTGACTTCTCTCTAGTTATTCCCGCAATAACCTCTCGGATAAGATACCCCCCGGGTAGACTATCCATCAGATATTTTTTTTATCATTCCATGACCTAAAAGATAGATTTAGTATCAATAAGGGACGTAAAAGACAAAATGTGTGATGATTATTCCAATTATTCTATGATCTGAATAATTGAAAACTATCAATCTAAGACCTAAAATATCGTAGATTTTAATTGATTTAAAAAATTTATTAACTTTGTTACTAATTTGTGATGATTTTATCTTCACAAAAGTTTTTTTGAATGTAAAAAGTTTATTAGTTTTATAAGATTAAATGATATTTAATTTTTTTAAATAAAAATTTTAAAAAAGGATGATATTTTTATATTTTACTCATGAGTATTTTCTCTTAATTCCTCTCAATAATATTTATTCCACGATGGAGTAGCTAAGTAGAAAAATAACAATCAACTACAATGACTTGTAATTACTTCCTCCGTTCTTTTTTAGTTGCAACGGTCAACATTTCACACTTACCAACGCACATCTTTGACCGTAATTATATCTTAATCTCTATTAGTAAAAAATAATTAAAAATTAGATTTTGAAAATTTGTAATGAGATGAATTGAACAATATAATTTAAAAAAAATAATTTTCATAAAATAATAATATAAAATGTAGTCAAAGTAGGACATGTGAATAGTGTAAAATTCAACATGTTGCGATTAAAAAGAGACGGAGGATAGTATGATAATAATTTGTGTTTTACCATAAAAACTAATTTTATAGACATTTTTCATTGAATTTTAGAATTATATTAAATTCAAATTTAACAAATATTAACGTGAGGGGACAAATAATGAGAAATTGAGAATGATCCAAACTCAAGGAGTAACTAATTGATTTTTGAAAATGCACGGTTGCATTAATAATTATGACATAACCTCAGGGGGTTAATAGTAGATTTCCCTAAATAAAAATAGCATATCACCACAAAGTGTATGTCGATATTATCGAGAAAGCGGCTCAGCTTAGCTCGTCGCCAACTCATTCTCCTGTATGGGTGGTTTAGATTTCGAACTCCAAGAAGGCAGTTCCAAACTTGTTTATCTCAGACCCTCTAGACCCCCTTTCCCAACATCTCCTCGGATTAAAAAACCCATAAAATCACCACATGGATGAGATAGTAAAAAAAATTACATAAAATTTTTATAATGTAACTAAACAAAATTTATAGGGATATCGATGCATATGTTTTAACATGGAGGAATATCAATAACAAATTAAAGTAGTGATAGCATGATGTATAAGAGCCCATGTACACCACTCATGACTCACCAAACGTGTGGTAATAACAGTCTCATTGTCCACATTTTTAATATAAGCTTGCATGTAATTTTATTTCCTTTTCATTTCCAAATTTTTAAGTCTCGTTGTGAATGATATTCATTGATCTTTATATTCAAGACCATATTTCAAATAAGAATCTCCTCTTTCAGATTTAGAATTTTAACTTCATAGTTTCAATCATCAGTACGAAGTACAAACACATCTGTTCACACAATATACATTGTTTTTTATATATTTCAGTTCAAAAAATTCCTTAAATGTAAGTATGTTGATTTATATATTGGAACTTTTTAATATTTTTTAATTTTAGATTTCAGTAATATTTGAAGATGTACCATGAGTCTCAGAGTCTATGACAGTATGACACTGTTGGTAGACGAAGGCCCAAACATATATTACCCACTTTGATACATTTAAACCCCAGCCCAATCCTCAAATTAAATGAGACTCCAAAGGATTTCGACAATAGTAGAATCAGAATAATTCCCAATTTAAAAAATTGACCACTAAAAGAGTTAGTAATTATCCTAAATAAGACTAAATATAAACATAATTAGGACTAAAACTTTAATCTTTCCCAAATAAGACTAAACATTAATTTTTTTATCCGTAATTCTCTTATGTACTCTAATTAATTCATTGCCCCCTGCCTAGTAAAACTTTAAAACATATGCATCGATATCCCTATAAATTTTGTTTAGTTACATTATATAAATTTTATGTAATTTTTTCACTATCTCATCCATGTGGTGATTTTATGGTTTTTTTAATCCGGTGAGATGTTGAGAAAGGGGGTCTAGAGGGTCTGAGGTAAACAAGTTTGGAACTGCCTTCTTGGAGTTCGAAATCTAAACCATCCATACAGGAGAATGACTAAATAGGACTTTAAAGTCATCAAACTATTAAAGTCAGCTAATAATGTTCTAATGGTAGGCCAAAGTTTCGTCACGGCAAACGTAATTTGCATATTAAAGTTAAAAATAATTAAAAAATTAGCTAGCTTCTATTGACTTTGCCAAAAGATATACTCCCTCCGTCCATTAAAACTTTACCAACTTGCTTTTTTTGGTTGTAAAGAATTTGTGATTTCAATAAATTTTCTTCTCTGATCTACACAATCCTCAGTCACACATTTTTTACTTTATTATCCTTGTGCCGGTCAAACTTGACTAATTTGGCCAAGTTTTAAGGGACGGAGGAAGTATTAAGTGGATTAATTACTACCTCTGTTCTTAAATAAATGGAACAATACACTTTTCACGTTTGTCGATACAAAACTTTGATCATTAGTATATCTAATTCTCTATTAGTAAAAATATTAAAACATCAGATTTTGAAATTTTGCAATGTGACAAATTAAATTTAACAATATTTCTTAGAAAAAATTAGCAACACAATTATAAAAACTACATAAAATATTGTCAAAGTAGAATATGTGAATAATATAAAATTCAACATGTTGCATTTATTTAGGAATGAAGGTAATATGTATTTAATAAAGCCGATGAATAAATTTTGTAATGTTAGGCCAAAGCTTTCATCACGACAAATGTAATTTGCATACAAATTCACCATCTTCCTCTTAAAGTTAAAGTTAATAAAAATTAGCCATAAAAATATATTAAGTGGCTTAATTATGTATTTAATAATGGGGAAAAAGACTTGAGTGAGACTAAAACAATGCTCATGTAAGCAAATAGGAC